AACTACATACGAAGTGAAAACGATTTGTATTTCGCAAATCAAAGTGATAGTTAAAGCAACCAAACTGTGTCAGAAATGTTCCCAAATTACTAGGTAAGGCTTTTATCAGCTCATCATCTGATCCAATAATTTTAATTGTGGCATTTCATTCGGCATGTCGCCGCACGACTTCTATGATACTCAAAGTCTCACATATATAATTTGAAAGGGGGGGTCTGGGGGGGCGGCGCCCCCTCAGCAGGTAGCTTTTGCTACTTGTTTTAAAATTTTAAAATGAGATTAGTCATTTTAATAATCTGAGACGAAATGTTTAAGAAGGCCCCTCTTCTCCCTTTGGAATAATATCATATTAATTGAATGAAGAAAATTGTGTTAAGCTCACTTGCATGTATTTTAAATGTAGAAATAAATCAAGCTAGATAGTTAAACTGGTCATAAACCTTTTAAAGTACAGTGCTTGACTATATGTAAGTAAAATTAGCTGAAGTTTTGATCCATAAAAACAAAAATTTACCGCTATCTAGCTTGAAGAAAAAATATGAATAAAAGAACAAAATTAAAGCAGCCGTCTCGATGCTTATACAAATTTTTCATGCTAATATTTTTACAGATTTGTTTGAACTTTGATCGGTGGATGTATTGCTGGAAAATTACTGAGCCAGAGCAAAACATTTTGCAACTTTCAGCGATAGAGGATTCCGGATTATGAAGCTTCAAACCAAAAACGTGAATTCATGAGGGGGATTCCAGACGCAAGAAGTCAATGAAATAGAGAGTAACACACTGCAATGATGGAGATGTTTGTCGCCTCCATTCCTAAAATATCTAAAGTTTTTAAATTGCACGATGTCAAAAGACCCTTCTACAGATTTGAAAAACTTTGGACTCATCAGTAAGAAGAGAATAACTTTTTGAATTTTTTGTTTTAAATTAGTATTTAGAGATTTCTTATATTTTGAAATATTTTATGTCCTTTTTTACATTAAAGTGTTTTAGGGCCATCAAGGAGAAATTTCTCGTCTTTTTTAACAATTTTTATTTTTTTTGTGTCAAAAGTTTGTGAAATTTACCTTTTTTCAAGTAAATAAAGGGGGGAAAATTCTAATAGTGGGTGAAATTAAGTGCTCAGCTGAGCTCTTGTTTTAGGGATAATCTTTTGCTTTGTTAGTCTAAGCATATCCAGCGCATGTGGGTACAAAAATTTTAGATGCAGCCACTAAGTATCTGGAAGATTTAATTGTTATTAAATTTAGCTTATTTCAAGCGATTATTTAGAAAAATGTATTTTTCCTCAAGACATTCTTGTTGATTCGTTCTGTTATATATTGTGCTGTTGTTTCGTAACTGTTCATAATTATTTAGGTACCTGTTTATTTTTATATGTCTAAAATAAAATGGAAGCCCAAACAATTTTGGAATTCTGATTATTTTCCCACCCTGAAGATTTCTCTCAATTTGGAAGATGAAGAATTTCGAGGCGATCAACTAATTCTACAATCACATCTTCCGTCTAACTGTTTGATCAAATATTTTGTTAAACTGATTGAGACTTTTCATTTAATTATTGATCTAATTTTTCAATCAGATTTCCTTTTTGAGCTTGATTTTACTATTTTTAAAAAATTTTACTACTATTTTACTATTTTTAACAAATTCGAAAAAATAATTTTTTCGAATTTTTTTCTAGACCATTGGATCGAATTTTTATGAAACAGTCAGATTAATTTTTTTGTGAAAACCGTCAATTATCAGTTGATCTATCAACCACCGAATCGTGCTCCAAAGTGGTAAAGATCCTAGTTAAGTATACTCAATACTTGTCATTACAACAAAAATATTTTAGTTGGCATAATTTATTGTGGTTGATTTGAGCCACACAATATGTATCACACAAAGCGTATGGCTATAAAATGGTGAATGATAGAACCGAAAAGAAGAAATTTCTTTCAACATTTTTTAAAACCCAAGGAAAGATTTTCCTCAGCCGACGGCTGAAATCAGCCTTCAATCTTCATAAATATGATTTCTGATCACCTGAGAGAGGAGAGCTTGATTTCTGTCACCTTCAATCTCCGATGGGACAGGTGAGATTGGTCAAGTTAGTTTGATACAGAATCTTTGTGAGTATTTATTGTAAGAAAGAATTATTCAGTTTTTTCATCATTTTCATTTTATTGTTTTGTTCAAAAAGGTTCCTTGGAGAATTATAACTAGCTTCTTCTCTGTAGGACCTGTAAAAATCTTATTGAAAGAATGATTGTTAATAAATCATGATGAAAAACAGCAAAATGTAATCCAAACTCTTCTCTCATCTATTTATTTCTGCAAAACTTCCGGTTCAATAGCCACTAAATCGCTGTTTCAGTTTTGCTTGGAGTAGGGCGGATTCTGGCCAAATAAGTCCTACTGTTTTCTCATTCAAAGCCAAAAACCTCTGTACCAAGGCTGATTGTACGGAAATTTTGGACATTTAGTGATTTTGACCTCTCTCGTTCCTTTGGGACATGGATACATTTGCCTTTCAAGCAGTGGCGTATCCAGAAATGGGGGAGAGGATGTCAGAATGGATATTTTCCATGGAAAATTAAACCTTAAAGAGTGTAACATGTAAAATATTCCATGTAAGTTCAGGAATTGATGATATTGGAAATTATATTGTGAATGTAAATTTTTGACTCTGACATTGTTCAGATATGTACTCGTGGCCGTTATTTTGTCCATGTAACCCCTGTCAATTTTTCTCTATTTTGGACAGAAATTTCGATTATGACCCGGAAAATTTAGTCCATGTAACCCTTGTCGAATTTCCTCAATTGGGACGGGAAAAAAAATTTCAAGATTTGTATCAAATCCTGCTTAGCTGGAGGCGTAGAATTTATTGCGGCTGGTCCCAAGGCTCTTGGCGGCTTACTTAGTCGAGAAACAAAGTTCACTGAACTCGCGTTTCTCACCGATTACGATTTCGCCACATTAGAGTGTTGCCAGGTTTCCCTAGTTAAACAAATTTTTCCGAAGAGAGACATGCATATTTTGCTCGGGAATTTTAAAACATTTAAAATTGCAAACAAAATTATCGGAAAATCAGAAGAATTTTCAGCTTTACTGACAAAATCGTATTTCATTGGAGGAAATTTGGCAACACCTGAAGGCACCTACGACGTTCTTCTTCAGCATGGCATAACAGGAAATGAAAAAACAACATTAATTTCAGAGAAAAATTTTTATTATCAGTCTTGCCAGGTAATTTTCTTTTAAATGAAACTTTAAAGAGGTAATGCCACCTAGGTGGATGATCGCACGATAAATTTTGAAGTTAAAGAAGCAACAGCTCCAACTGATATCCAAAAGAAAATTTTACTATCAGTCTTTAAATTAGTTAATTCTTTTAGATGATTTAATTTTTTTTCTTTTTATATAATTTTACATAAACTTGATTACACTAGAAAAATCAGTTTCAGATTAAAAGGGGCCTGAAAAAAAATTTTGAGGCTCTCAGTCTTTCAGTCAAAATGGGGGGTACAGTTCATTGTTGTTTTCAAGAAATGAAACATTCTTAAGAAACCTCAAAAATTACATAGTTTTACAATTAGTTTGCCAAAGACACACCATTATGAATAAAAATTAAACAGATAGTTAAAAATATGTACTACATGCCTTAGGGACAGATAAATGCACTTCAAGTTTTACAGAGAATCAACGTCTTATTTTTAGATGCATGTGACGAGAAGGCCTCCATACTCAAAAGCTTTTTCTAGCCAAATTTATCTAATGCCACTTTTACGTAGTTAATAAATAAATCCTCTCATGTATCAAATACTGGCAAATATTCCATGAATATTGGAGTTTCTATCCTTTCTTGATTAAAACCTTCTGGGGCTCTTAGAAAAGTATGCGCTCACACTTCAAATCCTCCCCCCCCCCCACACACACACACACACACACACAAAAAGAACAATATAATTACAGCAGAAATGAATCATTATTGAATTGTTTTGTTTCACGTGATTTTAGGGTTCGAACATGTAGAGAGAGACCAGAATAGAGGACAAATAAATGCTGATATAATGTTGAAAGTAGGATAGACTTCGAGGGAATTCAAAGACCCGATGTCATTTTAAGTTTGGGTTTGACAAAACAAATTTTAAGATAAAGAGACACTTTTGGAATAATATAACATCAAACTTACTAAATTTTGAAGAGAGAGATTGTAATGGTGGCAAATTAGGGACTGAAACGTGTTAAATTTGGCTTAGAGAAATAAAAAGTCATTGATAACGGAAACTGACACGCCATGAGTATGGATGGCCTGTCTCTTTGAGATGCTCATGAAAAATTTAAAATGTTATACCTTAAAATTTAACATGTATTGTAGAGGGGTTTATGGACGAAAACTTTTACAAAAAGAACGAATGTATTGGACCATTCAAGTTTGTTTCTAAGGCAAAAGTTGAGATAATTTGGAAGGGAACATGAAATTTGAGACAAGTAGGTAACAGTTATAGGGTGCTCACTTATTTTAAAAACAATTCCACAAAAAACGTTTCTTAAAGAGAGAGAGAACAAGCATTAAAAATTGAGCGGCTAAAAGACCAAAAAATGTTTGATAGGTACACACTCATAAAAGGGGGGAGGGTGGGTGGGAAACGCCATGAGAGGCTCACTCCTCTAAATTTCAATTGAATTGGTAACAGCAGATCAATCTGCGCATTTAAAACAATTTATGCTAAAGACAGATATTTATATCCATCACTAAATGCAAAAGAAAACGGGGCAAAATGAGCTAGAAATTAAACTAACAAAGAACTTACCTAGACAAAATTTCTATGGAAGTATGAGTATTTAAAAGTTTGATTTGCTACTAGGGAGAATGGAATGTTTCAAGTTTTAACGCTAAAAAAACAAAAATAAATTTTGCCACAAACATAATTTTAGAAATTTGGACAAATTTTTGGTTAAAAAAAAATAAACAGATATAAAATTCAACAATTCGTCGAAAAGTGACTTTCCTAGAAACTTTAGGCCTAAAATTGCAACATTCACAAAGCCAATAAAACAAATTAATGTAACAAATCTAGATCAACTTGGAGTTAGAAAAATAAATAGTGTATACACAAATTATAGATTAGTTTTCTTTAATAGGAACAAAATTCTATTTCCACTATTCATAGAAATGAGAATAAAAATATGTCTATGGGTCTATACAAATAATACAAATAAAACGGACTGAAATTTTAGAAACTTCAGCTTTCGAAAAATACTAACATATTGATAAAGGCCAATTTACAACTAAAATATGATGTAGATAAAAGAAGAGAGGAAACACAAGAATAAAATACTATTTTTGGTCCGAGAGTAATTTAGAATAAGTACAAACATGATTCGCCAACAGAGGCTAGATGATGAGCCCACAGTTGCCAGCAACGATGAGCGAATGAAAATAAATAAATAGATGAAATGAGTAAATGAAATGATAACGAAATAATTAAAAATAAGAAAATAAATAAAAACAAAAACGAAAGCTTACAGATGGGATAGACAAACACAAGATAGATAAAATTTGAAGACAAAACAAAAAAGGGAGAGACGTAAATAATCAAATAACTGATGGAGGAAATTAATCTAGTCGAAGGAAATAGTATTAACAATGGTGATGGGAAAACCGACCAAGGGTCATATTTCTTATACAACTAAGAAGTGAACTTAAATTTAATTGGACTATAGTAAAGAGATGGTAGCTTGAAAGGAACTTACAATAACCAAGGAGAATTAGGACTAATGATAGGACATCGGTAAGCGGGAGGGATCGCTCTGCAAATTTATTTTTGAAAACATTTTTAACACGTAAAACTCAATGACAAACTAAACGGTGCTTTTCTTTAGAAACGCCATTTGAGGTTGAATCACTCCTGCTGGTTTTTGTACTGAGCGGAGGAGGTCTATCTTCTAATGAATTTTAGAGGAAACTTGGGTATACTACAGCTTCATGACAGACTATCCATTCATTTTGGGTGGTTAGTTATTATCAGGCATCATTTAAATTGCAAGTAATTTACCTTTATTTCCCCATCCCCAGATCAAATATTTTTTTACGTTTTGACGAGCTTGCTTTTTGGACCAAAATTGAATCAAACCGACCTGAAGATGAACTAATTGCAATAGATCAAAATGGTCGTCATCGCCTGACAAAGGATAAATTTTCTTTTTCTATCTGAAAATCAGGATACAAAGGTAAATTTTACCCAAGATAATAAATTATTCTTTGATACTTTCTCAATGGATGGATCCCTCCTGTTTACAAATATCCGGTAGTTTGACAAGCGAACTGAAGAATCATGATACAGAGAGACATGGGAAACCAGTTCGACGCAAAGTGGCCAACGCTGAATTTTCCACTAAGGTGATCTATCTTCGCCCGAACGATGCGAGGAGAGAGATGGAGGGTTTAATATCACAGGAGACAAGGGGCTGCATAAGAGAAACCGGCAAAAACATCGTCCGCTTCGATCACGCTGGCTGTAAGAACACTGTCGCAAGATGCGGTCAGAGATGAGGTGATGGGCTCGTGCGTGAATTCAGGGTCGATGTTTTGTAGGTCCATGCAGTTTTCCTGTGAAAAATAATCGAGAAGATTAGGGTCGGAATTCGAGTTCTTGGCACACACAGACCTCTATTCAAACAATTCTTTTTTCAATTTCAAAATAAGGATGCTGGGGGATTTTAAACATGAAGCCAGAATCAATGCTGTTTTTGTTTTGTTGCTCAAGAATGAAGATAAAAAATTTAAAGTCTAACAATATATGCTGCTTCGCATTATTATGTCACGCATTTAACTTTCCTCAAGTAAAAAATCCGTTACAAACTTTCAATAAACTTCAGATCTTAGAAACTCAATTTTGATCTGCTAATGTGTGCTCTTCATGTCATAGGAGGGTCTGAAAGTACGTAATCTTGGAGTTTTCACTCTGTACATGAGATTGGAAACAAATTAGTATCATAATTGATTTTGATCTATTGAGACATTATCAAAAATATTTTCACTCAAATATCCTGTATTACAATGGGAAATAAGGGTATGATACGCAATCATCACAGAAGAAGGATCGTTAGTGCATGAAGGCAAATACAGGGGGATAATTTTGTCAAGTTGAGGAAAAATAAACAAATTTTGATTTTTCAACCAAAATACTCTCGTGTCTCACAGAGTGATGGGTGGGAAATTTTATTTTTACATAAATGCAGGGTGCAAGTAATTTTCAATTCACTATTTCAAGTTTTGAATGTAGCGCATTAAAACAGCTTAAAAATAATTATATTTTAACTGCCAACTTAACGTGTCACAGCTTTCAAAAAGCTATGCTTTGATATTTACTGGAGCAAACATGTTTGTAAAAACTCTCTTACAATTAGAAGTATTTATGCTTAAAAAGCTATGTGAAAATGAATGAAACCTTAGGGAACTATGTGCATAGAGTTTGCATTCTACAAAGTTCCTATTGATTTGATCTGTTCGCAAATGGTTCCCTCTAGCATAATTGTATCAGTAGTGGTGTTAATATCTTAATTTTGCGTTTTCCAACAAGAGTTCCTTCACCCATGTATGGTCTCAAACAGATTCACTTGATTTAAGACTTGCCGGAAAAATGTAAAAAGGATCTAAGATGCAATTTTTCGACACTGATTACTTACAACGACTGGGTTGAAGGGTGGGCGAATTCGTTTGGCAACAAGGTCGTCCCAGTTTATCGTGCTGAAAAACTCATGCCTCTTGACATCATCAAAATCACCGTACCCGCTGCCTAGCCTTTTACTGCTATTCTTCTCCAAAAGCTAAACATAAGAGATTAAAAAAAGATGTGAGAACAGGACTTTGATTTTACAGGTAAAATAAAAATAAAGCTCTCGAAAACATGATATTTTTAGATTGAGCACTAGATTTAAGTCCATGCTAGATTAGTTGGCCAATATTTAAATGTGGAAAAATATCTGAAATTTCTATTGCTCTACATTTTGATGGTTTGTTTAGATAAGAGTCTAACTCAGCAGTTGTAAATTTCCAAGGAAATGAAAAAATTGGACAAAAAAAAAAAAAAAAAAAAAAAAAAATTAAAAATATTCATCGAAGATCCATAAAAATATTTTCCTGCAAAAAATTTACTTCCTTAAAACCCATCAAGAATGTTATTTAGAAATAGGATACAGGAAACCGAAAAAAAAGAAACTAATCCAAATATTTAAAGAATATTTTTTGAGAAAAATTCAATTCAAAATAATTCTGTGTTGAGCTCTTGCTTAAATGAGCCGTTTATTTGTAAATGCAAAGTTCAACAGCATAGTTTCTACGTAAAGCACCACCTTATAAAAAGCGATATGGCATTTCTCTTTGCTGCTAACTTCACTACATATGTACTTCTTTTAACTAGTTATTTCAAGATTCATCATTGAAGAAACTATCAAAGCAGATAAATTCAATCACTTAATCATGGCCATTCTTCAAATTACAAGTTATGTGCTTTTTTGTGTATTTTATACATTATTTCTCTTATTATTGTTACTTTTGGCTCACTGGTAATAAAAATGGAATTGTATACAATGAGTGCCTGAGTTTTTTTAATACTTAAAAATAGATTAAATATTTAAATAATGTTTACCTGGGACAAGATGCTTCGAGCTTGCCGAGAAATGCCTGGTTTCAGGGGCACAGGATGGAATAAAATTAGATCAAACATTTCTTCCGTGTTGCGGCTATAAAACGGTGGTAGGCCATACAACATTTCATATAATACTGCTCCTAAACACCACCAATCTACCGATCTATCGTAAGCCTGAAACATAAAACAAATCCATTCTAACATAAACAGTCAAAAACCTATGCAAAATAACACACCATTGCCAGGACATCCCACAACACGAGATATTATTGACCACCAAATTTAAGAACGAAATGGACTGCGTTTAGCAGAGAGGAACCAGGCCACATCAGCTATCGCCATGTACTCTTGTCAAATTTCCTGCGAAAATTCTGGACTCAATTCAAACCTCCGATTTCTTTTGTCTACTCAACCAATGAGTAGGAGAGGTTATTGTTTGTCTTTGATCTTTCATATTTTGCAGCGGCCTTTCCCCGGATTAAACTATTATTTTAACATCTAATGCTGAAGAGCTAAGGTTGAGGGCTAAGGTAAAATCTTAACTGTCTGATGCTTAAAACCAGGCTTACCTCTTTTCTGATGACTTCAGGGGCTAGATACTCTGGCGTACCACAAAATGTGTCTGTCGTGTCTGTTGCCAACAGTCCTTCTTTTGACAGCCCAAAATCGGTGAGAACAACATGACCTTCTGCATCGAGGAGTAGATTTTCCGGTTTCAAATCTCTATAGACGATGCCGTGTGAATGTAGATAACCTAGGGCCGAAGCTATTTCTGCTGTGTAGAACTGAGATCTTGATTCACTAAATTTGTGCTCTTGTTGCAGATGGAAGAAGAGCTGTAAAGATAACAAGAAGACATGATTTACAGAAATCAGAGGAGAGTAAAAAACATGTACACTTTTTGAAGGGGAAAAAAATTATAGAGATAATCATCATTGATCTTTACATTTAATACAACTTGGGTTGGAAACACAAATTTTTGGGAGCTTGGTTACGACAGTGCAAGTTGAAAAACTGAGATCTTGTCTTCTTAAAATGACTCAGTTCTCATAGAAAATTGGCAAATTTTTCTTTGTTTTATGAAAACTCCAGCGTTCACAGTTAACAAATCGTTAAATGACGAAGTTTCATTGGTGGATTTGTCTGATATCATTTCTTTGGTTTTATATTCTTTTCCTTTTTCTTTCAAAATAAGTTCTAACGAAACAACATGCATAATACAATGTCTGAGTACTTATTTTAAGATGCGAGTAGATTATTGAATGAAGAGAGTAAGCTCTTCCGGAAAATAAAAATTGTTCCAGATGTGTTCATACTTTTTTTTTATGGAGCAATGAAGACAACTCCACACTTTTTGTGCAGCATTTTATAGGCGCAATAATTGTCTCCTTCTCACAGGAAAAATTTAAAGTTTAAAAATAAACTTTTTTAAAAAAAGTAAAACATTGCTCACTAATTTTTTCAAAGAGTTCTAAGGTCTACAACGCACCAAAATTACAAAGAAAGTATTCCTCAATCACGTTTCTCAGTCAAATGGCAAAAAGAAAATTTTCGGATGACAGATTCAAATGAAATTACTGATGAAAGACATGATAGAAACTAACCTCTCCTCCATTGATGAAGTCCAGGACAAAATACAGTTTATCACTGGTCTGGAAACTATATCTAAGATTTACAAGAAATGGATGGTGAAGATTCTTCAACAGAACGTTACGTTCTGACATGATATGCCTGGCTTCATTTCTTCGGAGGATCAGACTTTTGCTCAAAACTTTAATTGCATAGTGGCAACCCTCTTCTTTATGCCTGGCTAATAATACTTTTCCAAAACTACCTTTGCCAATCATGTGCAAAAACTCGAAATCACTGGGTTTAGCTCTGAAAAAAGAAAACAATTTCAATTAAAATACATCAAATTAAATTAAGTAATACGGCACTTAAAGTGGCAAAACAAGAAAAATACACTACAATCTATGACAAGAATTTGGTAGTACTCTTTTCTGTTTTAAAATCATAAAAAAAAACAATGCTAGATTTTTGGAGCGTATTTTTTTTAAACATAGCTTTTGTCAAAAAGAAACGTTTCAGAGGCTTACTGAGACTTCAAAGCATTGTCAGAGGTAGAAAATGGAAAAAAGAGAGAAAAAACTTGTTTTGATAGATGCAGAATTCGACTGAATTGCCGCAAATGGCTGTTTTGTTGTTCTGCGGTAACAATCAGATTTTTAGTTTTGATAATATACAGGCTGAAATTTTGACGCTTAAATTATTGATAATCAAAGTAACTAGACCATTATAAAATGTTAATTCTAGGTTTAATTCTGACCAATAAATTATTATAAAAGCTGATAATAATGAAAAAAAAAATCAGGTTTCTCATGAAATACGTGATTGAAGAGCAAGGATTCTATCTTTTTCCCAATTCTCTGACTTTTCCTGACTTTAAAAAAAACTTCTTTTAATTTTCTATTTTTCTTTCAATTACACTCTTTTTTTCTATATTCTGGATGAACTTTCCAATTCTAGAGATTCAAATCATAGTAAAAGGCAGTGAGAAGTTGTTTCTGTCCCCTAGAACAGCACTGTCTGAAGTTGCGAAACCAACATGGTGCTTGTAAAATTCCCTGACTTTCCAAGTTTTCCAGATCACCAGAAACCCTAAAGAGACTACAACTAACAACTAAAACTGCTACTGACTGACTAGATTTAGCAAAGTTGTATAAACCAAACGAATTATTGGAACATTATCCTATCTTTGGTTTGTGTTAAAAAAAACTTTGGATTTTTTTCCAGTTAAGAGTTAGTTAAAGCGTAATTTTTTTTTCCCCCTATGAAATGATAGAGAGGCGATGTATCAAAAAAAGGTTATTAACCTACTTTATCTATTTTGAAAATTCATTTTTTTCAATAACATCACCATTCGAGGTACTTACACTGTTCTTTCGGAGGGCCCAAGGTTAACCTCTTCTCCTTCCGGTATACTTTCATCGACGCTAGATTCATCACTACTAAGTTTGCGATCATCAAGTTCTAAAAATTGTCTAACTTCCGGTCTGAAAAAAAAAGAAAAAAGTTACAATTACCAAGAAGACAATACTTGCTTAATCAGAGAGCTTAATAATGTTGGTCACAGGTGAACAAATCTTGAAAAATTCATTTGATAGCAGAAATGACCGGTTTCAGCCATTAGCCAATAATTTTAGCAAGTTTTCTACACAATACTGAAACCATTTGCATTGATTAAAGGGTATTACTGATAGATAACTTAAGTGGCATATTTTACAAACATTTTAAAACTTGGTAACAAAAAGAACTTCTTGAAATAAACAACTGTCGTCCTGAGAGATCTCAGGAACTATAATTTGTTTTTCCGTTGTAGAAGTAAATATTTGAGACATCGGTGTGAAAACAGTTAATTTTTTTGTCTAACTTTAGTTGAGAGGGATCTACTGCTCTCAGGCAACAGATTCAATGATACCGTTAAAAAAAAATAAATGTAAAATTAAAGTAAAAATACTAGTACGTTTTAGCAAATTCCTTTTACTTACAATTCAAGTAATCTAGTATCAGACATTAATTGCTGTACAAATAAATTAAGTCCTTCTCTCCTTGTGGCTACAAAGTCTGGGTCCAAATTATTCCCAAACAACTTTTTCCCTGGTAGTTTTAACTGCAGATTTGGTACCTGAAACAAAGAGCGGGACATGTAATCAATGAGGAAGGATGACACATTTCCAGAAAAAATAGGGATGAGCAAGGAAGCTCAGACAGATCTCAAAATCCGTACATTTGGCTCGTCACCTACATAACGAGAAACTATGCTTCTTGATGAGGTCTGACTGCAAAAGGACAAAATGCATTATTTTCTTTTGTTTTAAAAAAACTGCTACTGCCGGCAATTTAATCTGTTTATGGAACATATAGACAGTGAAATTGCAAAAATGCGTATCCTGCCATACTTTATTTCATAGAATTACAGATAGAAAACTACTTGATGTCAAATCTTAAAGACTTTTGTGATTTGTATTCTTTGTGTGAACAATTTTCTGAGAGAATTCCGGGCCATTACGTTGGTTCGTTCTTGATTTACTCGATTCATTGAAAATCATACTTATCATTTTTCTTTACTATTGCTTTAACATTAAAGTAATCTGTGGTACATTTAGGGATTTTCAGGTCTGCAGGTACAAATCAGTCTTCAGAGGATTCTGGTGACTCAATCTTTTGAGGCGCGGAGTACCATTGATATTTTAAAAACTAATCATTGCACCAGCTAGAAAGAACATAGATGTGCAAAACGTTGCTCCACGTTGTACTTACTTGTTTTTTAAGAGCGTCGTGGAGTTTGTAGAACTCATTGTATCGGCGAAAGACATACCAGCACTCTGTTGGCGAAGCGACTACAACCTTGTAAACCTGTTAAAAAAGAAAATAATTTTTTTTTGTAAACCATTACCTATGTAAATTTTACAAGCATTAACCAGCCGAAAATAATTAAAATGACAGAGACACCAATCAACTGATTTTTTTTAAATTTAATTTTTTCTTTTACATTTTAAAATAATGCTCTGCAGAGGTATTCACCAACCGTTTGACTCACTGCCATGAGCCAGTTTTTCTTGAATTGTCTTTTCTTTGAGCAGACAGTAGTAGGAGGATTTGTTCGAAATAATGAAGGCTGATGTCTGAGCATTGGTCTCTCCTCCTCTGACACTCGATGAAACGTAAAGAGGTTAAAAAATTAACAGCTCTCCAATTATCCCAATTAAACTTGATAATTAAGCAGTGGTCACTCTGAACCAGTTAATTCTTGAATTTCTTCAAGAGGAATGGATGAGGTTTTTTTTTCTTTCTTCCTTTTTTTCAACACTTTCAACTTTCAACTTCCATCTTGCTTTTAATGGGAGGATTGCACATTTAATGGCGACAGAATTTTAGAAAATTTTCTTTTAAGGATAGAGAGAAAATTTAAAGATTTTCGAAGGTGTACTTGAAGCATAAACTTGTGTTTCATTCGCAAGTTTTAATTATCGCCAATTGTAGGGCAATGGTGTCGTTAAAGATAATACTTATAATTAACCAATAACCAAAAACAGTCTTACGATATTAGTTCTTGCCTCATTTCCTTCTGTGTTTTGCTTTTTATGAAGAAAATAAAGCAAAATTCTGCTTTCGAATTTGTTGATTATAAGGTATTTGCGTTTCACGTAAAATCCACGAAACATTTATGGCGTCATGATGTTCAGTCTTCTTATAAGAAAATAAAACAAGTGAGAAAATTGGGCAAAAAGAAATGTGATTGAGGTGGCTAGTGGCGAATCAATCTAATTATTGTATTCCAATGGAGAGAAAAGTTCTGACTTTTTTGATTAATCGCAGGTAATAGTAGAAGAAGAGGAGAAAAAGAAGACAAATTAGAGAAGGAAGAGAAAACAAAAGAAGTTATAGAGAAAGAGAAAGACGAAGATGTACATTAAAGCCCGGTTATCCGCGGTTCGAACTATCCGCGATCGTCTGGATTTTCGATCCACGGTTTTTAAGTCCGGGTTTCCGCGGTACCTCCGCTCCCAATTATCGCGGGTAACCGGACTTAAAAACCGTGGATCGAAAATCCTTTTCAGCAGCAGAAGAGGAGAAATACAAAGAAGTACAGTTGAGCCCGGTTATCCGCGGTTCGAATTATCCGCGAACGTCTTGATTTTCGGTTCGCTGTTCTTCGAGGTAACTCCGCTCCCAATTACCGCGGAAAACCATGATTCTACAGTAGCAGAAGAGGAGAGAGACGCAAAGAACCCGGTTATCCGCGACTCGGAATAACCGCGATCGTCTGGATACCCGGTCCGCGGTTCTCAGGTTCGGATTATGCTTAGAAACTCTGCTTCCAATTGGCGCAGAGAACCGGGGTTCTACTATGGCAGAGGAAGAGAGAGAGACGAAGAAGATGAAGGAAAGTAATACGAAAAAGAGAGAGATGACGAAGAGAGGAAGAAGAGGAAAAAGAGGAGAAAGAATAAGAGGAAGAAGAAGAGGAAGAAGAGGAAAAAGAAGAGGAAGATGATGAAAAAGAAGAGGAAGAAGAGGAAGAAGGAGAGGAAGAAGAGGAAGAAGGAGAGGAAGAAGAGGAAGAAGAGGAAGAAGAGGAAGAAGAGGAAGAAGAGGAAGTAGAAGAGGAAGAAGAGGAAGAAGAAGAGGAAGAAGAGGAAGAGGAAAAAGAGGAAGAAAAGGAATAAAAGGAAGAAGAGGAAGAGGAAGAAGAGGAAGAATAAGAGGAAGAGGAGGAAGAAGAGAAAGAAGAGGAAGAGGAGGAGGAAGAAGATGACGAGGAGGAAAAGGAAGAAGAAGCAACCATGGGTTATTTTTTATGAATGACAATAATAATTATTAATTGAATAATTAAATAGAGACTCACGGTGAATTTTTTGCGATTGTGCCAGGTCTCGGACTTCTGGACGCTGGCGGTGGCCTCAAGGGGTGGGGATGTGCGGGCGGTCGGTTGGGGCGATGTGACGTCAGTCATACCGCTGCAAAAGCGGCCTAGCAGGAATCTCCAGAGCGTAAGACCGACTCGGCACCACCAATCTGCGGACACAAAGAGACCCACCAATTAGAATCAATGAAGACGTGAAACGCAACTGACAGCTCCGACAGTCCGACACTCATGATTGATCGCATGAGACTTTTGATCGGGGAAAAAAGTGGCGAAGTTGAGGGGTCGCCCCCGGGCTACCGCGCGGTATCAGTAGCGTGGCGTGCTTTGTGATATATCGATTTATCTGTCACTTAAACCCATGGAAAAGTATTGATTAACAGGGTGTTCGTAGCGAACACCTAAATAATCGATTATTTACCATAGCTTCAAATGGGGAAATATCGATACATCGCAAAGCACGCCACGCCACTGCGCGGTATCCGCCTCTCAAGGAGTCATTTCGCCGTTTGAAGCACGGAAGAGCGGAATTCCATTTCGATGTCACCGACTTTCTACGCGCAAATTGCACTTCCACCAAGAAAATGTTGGGAATTTCTCATTGAAAATTCACCGATTTTTTTTTTCTGATCTCATGCAAAAATTAGACAAGTTTTCGACTAAAACCACATGCACTGGGGAAAAAAACACATTGGATCTAGAGTCCAGACTCTTGAAAACATTGACAAGAAAAAATACTCTTGTTCAATAGGATTTTTGCTTGAATCAAAACGAAATCCGCTTAAATTAAGAGGCTTGGTTCTTGATTTAAGCTAGATTGACTCAAGAGTACTTTCTCTTGTCGATGTTTTTAAGAGTCTGGACTCAAGATCCAATGTGTTCTTCTTCCAGTGCACGCAGGTGCAATTAAACCAAAAAAATGTTAAGAATTTCTAATTGAAAATTCACCGATTTTTTTTTTCTGATCTCATGCAAAAATCAGACAAGTTTTCGACAAAAACCACCCAAGTGCGCTTGAACCAAAAAAATGTTAAGAATTTCTAATTGAAAATTTCTCCGATTTTTTTTTTATTTTATGCAAAAATTACACAAATTTCCAACGAAAACGACGCAGGTTTATTCATGGAAAAACCGAATCGTTTCAGTCAATTTTGCACCCTTGGAATAAAGTTACGTTCATTCGTCAGGGAAACGACGATTTGAAAGACGAAAGAACTTAACTACGTCTCAAAACTCCAAAATTAATTATTCTTTTGGACAGAAATATAATTGTGCGATTTCTGTCGAGGATTTCGCTGATTTTCGTGTGTAATCCGAAGACGAATCATTCCCTGACCATTGATATAATGCCCTAACTTTTACCTAATTTTCCAGGTATTTTTAAAATTCCTCAATCATCCTTGAAGCGACGATTAATTTTTCTTAGTTTAAGAGAGGTAAAAACGGGGGGAAAATAAATACCTTTGGACACCATTTCGTGTTAACACGTCGAGCATCACTCACAAGCAGCGAGTGTTTTCTGCACTCGCGGAATTACTCGCTAAAACCGAAAAAATTCGCTAGGCAAAGGATTCAAACCAGTGCCCGATCAGAATCAATCAGTTCCCACGAAAAAAAATCAAATTCGACACAATTGCACTCGAAAACCGATCAAGTCAAAAATTCGCCGAGCAAAGGATTCAAACCAGTGTCCGATCAGATCAGTTAGTTCTCACGAGAAAAGATCTAATTCGATACAATTGCACTCGAAAACTGATCAAGTCAAAAATTCGCCAAGCAAAGGATTCGAACCAGTTCCCGATCAGAATCAGTCAGTTCCCCCGAAAAAAAATCCGACTCGACACAACTGCACTCAAAAACCGATAAAGTCCTCTCTCGAAATCGAGAAAAATCCTTCTTCTCGTCACGCGGTTAGAATTATAACTGGAATCGTGCGGTAAAAACTAATGACGGATTGGACGTTTAACGAGTTTAAAAAACAAACACTGCTTCTCACTCTGAGCGTATGTCGGCAGGGACTGTCTGTAATGCGTGTGATGTAATAGCGATTGCTCCCAGCATCGATGTCTTCCCTAAGTACAGGCGCGGTTGCCAAGTCGACACCGAGGCGCAGGAAAAAACCGCTCACGATATCAACAAATGCCATTATGTAAACAAAGAGTTACGTGTGCGCGTGAATTATATTAATTTTAAAATATATTGCATAAGCGTAGTTTCTAGGTATCTGATAACAGGGTGACCGAGAAAGCTCGAATTGGAAGTCTCTGACTTTTCCAGGTTTTCCAGACTTCCCTCGGAATTTTTCGGCGGAAACTTTCTGATACTTAAACCAAAATTAGATTTAGTTTGCTCCTTTTTAATTAGTATCGAGTAGTTTCGGCTATATCAGAGCTCTAATTTCTTTATTTGGAAAACATCTTGCAATGGAACTACAATTTCTGGCTCATCCGTAAAAACACTTATGTAATGAGGGAAACTAATAGTACATACGTTGTTTCGAAACGGAGCCAGATATAATAATTCCTAATTGCAAAATGTGGTTTATTTGATGGCGAGAAAATGTCAGAGCTCTTGGACAATATCTTGCGATTCGGAACTACAATTTCTGGCTCATCCGTAAAAAAACTTACGTGATAAGGGCAACTAATAGTAAATACGTTGTTTCTAAACTGAGCCAGATATGATAGTTCCTAATTGCAAGACGTGGTCCATTTGATGGCAAGAAATTCAAATATACGTTTTAAAGATTAATCGGCGAGTTTAAACTGGTTTGATCACCATGCATAAACACTTTGGAACTTCTTCACTCTGTACCCTCAGGGTAGTTTTGAATTATTTTCCTTTGGAAAGGAATTGGAAAAAAAATATCCACTTTACGTTTCGAAAGCAATTTGTGGAAAACTAAAATTGGGATTTGAAGATGATTGAAACTCTAGAATATAAAATACGACGAAGGAGGAAGTTTCGATTTGAGAATGAAAGAGATGATGCTAGAGGGTTGGAAAGCATGCAGCCGAAGGTAAGCGTAAATATGGCAACAGCGGAAAAGTTTTAAAATTATCTGCAAAATAAATGGAACTGCGTGTGCTTTCACTCTTGCCACATTCTCCGTCGAAGTTGGGAACGAAGTCCCAGAAATCGCAAATTTCATTGACGCTGGGAAAGGCGGCACTCAGACCAAGGACCAATTTAAAAGCTAAACTCTGTCTGAGTAAACTCTATACAGATTTCGCGAGAAAGGAAAAAAATTCAATAAAGAAAGAGAAGAAGGCGCAAACCTTGGAGAAAACAAACATTCTAAGTGCAACGATAACTGCGGTGGTTCTTGTTAAAACCCAACATTTTTTCCCCCAGGTCGGAAAAGATAACTCCTTACAGTATCTTCCTCGCTAAAAATGTGTCCTCTCCGAAACTAAATATCTCATTTCTTGGAACAGCAGATCTGCCTCCTGGTGAACCCCTTTTCAGTTCTGCTCCTGACACATAATTGACGTTTTTCAGTGGTTGCTCATGAGAGAGTAAACCAAGTACCCACGTGGCCTTTCAAGACATTTGCTCAATAATTGAAATTTTTGATACAGTCCCATCGAGAAACGTGCCTTTCAAAATATTTATAACCTTCCTCGAAAACGCACAATTTTTCGGAGAAATTTGGCATCATTAAAACGCTTATTCAACATTTTTCCTAGGAATATAAGAAATGTCACCTACTCAGCCTCCTTTAAGATCTGTCTCTGTGGCGTGATCTCTATGTTCGGTGGACACTTATAGGGCAGTGCAACAAATTTCACCGTCAATTCCTGCATTTACAAACCTTCACCTGATTTAATCTGCTTTATACTATCAATAGTTGGATCGCCTTTAGCAGAGAGGAACCGAGCCACATCAGTTATTACCAAATTTTACTGGGCAATTTAATTTAAATTTAAGAGCGTTTGTTCGGATTCCTTTGAAAATTTTATGGAATTTGCTTTGCACTATGAAGGAAATTCACTGGAATTTGAACAAAAATCAGCACAACAGTTTTCGTGTAAAAAATTAAAATCCTCTATTAAAAGCAATAGCTGACGTGTGGCTTGGTTCCTTTCTGCTCAACGCAGTTCATTTTTAACCATGTCTCATCGCGAAAGTGGTCACCAAAAGATTTACAACCTTTCCGAAGAATGCACGATTTATGGAGGAAACTTGGCATCATTCGAGAGCTGATACAGCACTGTCCCTAATAATATAAACGCCTCCTGCTAAGCCTCACTCCAAGTCTGCTTCTGTCACTAAATCGATATCTTTCAACGGTCATTTACGGGGCAGTGCGACGGATATCCACGTGGATTCCTGCTTTTTACGACCTTTGCTCGTTCGATTTGCTACATTATCGATATTTTTAACGCAGTTACATCGGGAACGTGTCTCCGTATCGCTGCACATGCTAGATAACGACCGAAAATATTCAGTCGCGGTGCGTGCCGCGTGCCGCGGGAGAAATTTCTAGATTGCGAAAAGTCGCAAAGGCCCTTCGCGGGATCGCGGGGGCGTCGAACAAGGTAGCCGTTGATAAGCTAGGTGAGAAGGCTGATAAGCCGCCTTTATGGAAGGTAAAAATAGATAAACAAAAGAAAGAGAGCGAGTAGAAAATTACTTGGCTAGTAGCTTTTGTTTTCGTGGAAGGCGAAAATTAGTTCGTGTTTTAGGTTTTTAAACGAAGCTACACATCAGGTTATGCTGATTTCACTCAGAGCACATTATTAGACGCATTTGAATCAAAAGAGAGGAGGAGGATGAGATCTACGAGGATATCACGCGACGTGAAATGCAGGCGATGAGGATTTTTGACCGTAGTTCAACTAATAAAATAATTACAATTAATAAACGTTAAATTTATAGAAATGTTTGCTTTCGGGGCCCTGATTGCACTTGTGCTCCTTATTACACTCGTATTTAGGAGCAAATGGAGATGTTGCATGTGTGAGGGATTTGCGATTTGACTGTTGTTTCTTATGTAAAAGTTCGCGAGAAACACGACGGTGCCACTGGTTTTCTCTGAAATCATCTCCCAAGCTCAAAAAAAGCTCTCGAAGTGAGGCAAAAATGGCCGGGGATATCCCGCCCTACCCTGAGAGTCCACCTCTACATCAAAACAAACTCTCCATGCGCA